CGGAAGAAGTTCCTGGATCCTGGCTTCAGATCGGCATAGCATCGGCCGTTGTGCTCACTTGGGGAGTGAATCATCGGATGGAAGATCTTCCTCTCTGTCTCTCCTCCTCTCTGTATATCCACCTTTCCAAATAAAGATAAATAAATCTTTAAATAAATAAATAAATCTTTTTAAAAATTAAAAAAGAATATAATCTCTATGCCAAACTAAGGCATATATGACAACTCTCTGAGTTCAGCAGGTTAGAAAACGCAGTGTTTTAGGCTAGGCTACGTGAGGGTGTATGATTTGTGCCTATGTAACGACGAAGTAGTCAATCACACAACGGTCCTGCTGAAAGGTCAGAGGGTTTTTCTCCTGGGAAACAGCTGGGGTTATTGTAGCTCACCGTGTGTTTCAGAAACTGGATGGAAGCAAACCAACACACATCTTTTAGTAAATTAGTGCCAGTCAAGAATTTCCTGAGCTTACCCACGTACACAAACGTGCGCAAAGGAAGACCACATTTCCTGAGGAAGCTACCTATGGCAGCGGCAATGTGAGTTACTGAGCAGGAAGGGTTGTGGGCAGTCTCGCTAGTAAGGCACACACTTGTTAGGGCTTTTCAATCGTTTATTATTTATTTATTTATTTATTTATTTAATCATGATGACATGGTTGAGCAGGGTGGGAAGGATCGAGGTTTAGGGAAAATTGGGTGAACTCATTGCTTCCATATTTGCTATTTCTTCTTGTTGTTCCTGGGGAAAGGACAGATATAAAGGGGGAAACCATTCATGACTTTCCACACGTCCCAGTGCCCAGGGATGAGGAACCGCCACCTCATATCAACCCAGTGTCTCAGTGTGTGCATATTCCGAGGGTTCTGCCCCAGTGGCTTGGGTAATTCAGAAATGCTTCCGATCTCACTGATCCAAGGATGCCGTCACCTCCCGATGTCCACCGGCTCCATTCACTGGCATCTTCTGCTGTCATCGTTTGTTTGGGGTAGTTCTCCAGTTAGTCCTGTTCTTCTGCTACAGCACCAAATGAGCTGCCATATTCTCCTTTTACAGCAGGGCCTGTGTCCACTGCTCCACCTTTTTCATTAAGGAGGACATGTTCTTGCAGGCGAGTCCAAGTTCCTGGGCCAGGCGTCCCAAGCCCCACCGAATCCCCCACCCTGGGGCTCACGAACCCAGAACTCACCTAGTAGGTGGGCCCTGGGGTCTGGAACAGGAGACCCCAGCCATGCCAGATCCAACCCCCCTTGGGTTTACGGACCTGACGTCCACCTAGCAGGGAGGCCCCAGGCCCCGGACCAGGTGACCTGAACCCCATGAATCCCCCACTCCTAGGGCCCACGAACTCAACATGCACCTAGTAGGTGAGCCCCAGGACCCAGGCCAGGAGACCCAAGCCCCACCAGATCCCCCACCCACAGGGTTCACACAGCCAACACCCACCTAGAAGGCAGGTCCCAGGATCTGGGCCAAGCGACCCACGCCCCACCAGTTCCCCTGTCCCCAGGACTCAGGAACCCAACCCCTACCACACAGGTGAGCCCTATGGCCTGAGCCAAACTACGCGAGCCCTGTCAGATCCCCCATCCCTGGAACTTACATGACTCGCCTCACCTCAGCTTCTACAGTTTTATTGTGCAGCCTGGCCTAGTCTAGTCTGCCCCCTGTTCCACCTCCTATTGGTGGGTGCTGCAGCCTGTCCCAGCCCAGCCTGATTGCTGTCCCAGTCCTAATGTGAACTGGCTGGTGCTGCACCCCGATCCGGCTCCTCCTGCCCCTGCCCGGGATCTCAGATCTGCCCGTGGGTGTTATTGCTGGCCTAGACTGGTCTGTCCCCAGACCTGACCCCCTTGTATGCTGATGGGTACTGTAACCTGGCATGGTCTGGGCTGCTGCTTGCCTTGTTTCTTGTGCTCACTTGCAGGGACTGCATCCAATGAAGGAGTTTCCCAAGCTCCTCCATCGAGCCTCCTCCCAGTGGCAGTTCTCACTCACACCAGGGGGTCGTTGGCCCAGGCTGACTTTGTCCGCCTCCTGTCCTGGCGAGAACCGTGGCCTTGCTCAGCCGGCCACACACCCGTACGGTTCTTGTTGTCGCAGCCCAGCGCTACCTGTCCCGTGCCTAGACACAGCTTTCACAAAGTTCAGTGGCACTCAAAACCTAGTCTGGCCTTTTCTACACCCAAACTGGCTCTCCCGAGTACCAGTGGGGCTGGAGCCAAGCCCAGTGTGTCGCTCCACCATCCCAGGGCACAGCCGTGCCCAAGAACTGCAGATGGGGTCAGGCCTTGCTGGGGAGCTCAGGAGGTGAGTTGGGGTTCCCATTGGTGAGAGTGAAGTAGGATTGAGAGCATCGGCATGGCTGTACATGACCTCAGCCTGCATCGGCGAGGGCGTTTTAAATGATACATGCTATGCAGCATTTTAAAGGAGCTGCAGTCACTATGTCCCACTCTGAAAATCCTGCAAGGGGCAGGAGATGGTGCCCCCGGGAAAGCCTGCGGATCACAGTGTCCTGATCAAGTCCCACCTTTCCTGGCAGCCCAGCTTCCTGCCAATGCGCACTCCACACAGCAGCAGCTGGCACTGCTGGTTCAGATCTTAGGGTCCCTCCCGCCAACGAGCAGAGTAAACCAGCAGTGGAAGGACTGCTCTCTCCCCATCCAGCTCTTCGCAGGCTGTTCAGCCTCTCAACAACAACAACAAAAACCCTCCAATGTGCAGGAACCCACAGGAGGCGGGACCAAAGGGGACAGTTTAGTCATCACCGAGGCTTAGGACTCTTGCAAACCCGCTGAGCCAGGCACCCTATTGCCTTCAAACCCACCACCTTTCTTACGACCCGCGACACGTTCCTGAGGGCGTGCTTTGATCTGCTTTAGGGGTACAGGGGCCTGTCTTGTTTAGGAAGTCTTACATGTCCCTAATGGGTTTCCACTTGGGTTTTTCCTTCCTTTCTTCACTCCAAAAATCGTTATTAACCTGTGAGACCAGGATGGCAGGCTCTGCAACACACACGGACCGCCCACGCTCATGCGAGGAAGGAAGCTCCTGTGAGCCCTTGGTGAGCTAACCTGGAGGGAATCTCTGGGAAAAAAATAAACAATTTTAGGCAGGAGACGATCACAGTGTGAGCTCTCAGCATTGTGACGTAGGAATGGGAGAGAAACCCACTGTGCCAGTGTCTCCGTCGCCCCAGGATCAGCTCACGACAAATTCTAGCTGCATGAGGTCAAGCAAGAACCTCGCTTCTCCTGCTCCCTGGCCTCGTGGACGCCGTGTTCAGTCTTTCTGGGTCTCAGATTCCTCGCCTGCCGATTAATAACACCCGTTTCTCGGAGGGTGTCATGCCACAACAAGCTAATGCTCCCAAAGCCACTTTTGTCCGTGCTTGGCACACAGTAGGTGGCACTGAGTGTGGTGGTCGCCCAGGCAGGCCGCAGGGCAGCCTGTGCTGGGCCTGAACTCCGGGACGCCACATCCTCTCCGCTTCAGGAGCTTTCGGCTGTTGGGATTGCTCAGACAGCTGTCCCTACCGACGCAATGGACAGGGAGACAACTGAATCTTGATTTCTTTTTTCTTGCAAACCAAAGTCTTCCATCTATTGCTTCACTCCCCCAAATGACCATAGCCAGAGCTAGGCCTGCTCAAAGCTGGAAGCCAGAAGCCTCTTCCACATCTCCCACGTGGGTACGGGGGTGCAAGGATCTGAGCTGTCCTCTGCTGCTTTCCCAGGTGCATTAGCAGGGAGCTGGATGGGAAGTGGAGCAGCTGGGACCAGAACCAGTGCCCATATGGGATGCTGGCGCTGCAGGTGGAGGATTTGCCTATTGAGCTACCACATCGGCCCTGAATCTTGGTCGTATTCTTAACACATAGACACCAGCAGTGCCCGTGGCAGGCTTTACATTTGTGTTGGAACTGCTCTTCCAAGAAGGCAAGGTAGCACCTGTTAAATGCTCACCATGTTGCCAAACAGTAACATTTCCTGCTTGAGTGACCCTCCGGGGTCAGCGCTGCAGTTCACAGTTTACAGAGGGCCAAGAGCGATTAGGAAACTTGGAGATCCAGATCCAGGCCTGCCGACCTCCGGGTTCTCCTCTTGCATCCCATCGCATTCTTCCACCGTAGCAGCTGTTGGCTTACTTGTGAAGGCAACATTGAGAGGCGAAACAGAAGGGGGAACCTGGTGACTGAGCCTCTATCCCTAAATGGTGGAATTCATCTTCTCCAAGGAGTATTCTAGGTGGGAAATGTTTATAGGGTTTACAAGAAGAACTCAACAGAAGCCTAGCTCATGTCAGCAACAGCTGGCCAACATCCAACTTCTTGTGGATTCGCAACCATTGTTTGGGCGTTTGCATTTGTGTGGTACAAGAAGGGGCTGCGGTCCCGAGGGAGGGTGATGGCTTGGAGGACCTGCAAAGCTCTGAAGGTGGCCGTGCAGCATGTTGAGGCCTTCCGGGTCTCCTGGGCCTGCATCTTGGAGTCTTGTGAGTCCAGACGCCAAGATTCACAAATGGTGCCTCTGCTTCTGTCTGCCGCCGCTTGGCAGGTTGCACCAGTCAGTCCCTGCAGCTGCTCCCTGATCCCTCTGTGTGGCAAAGAGCCAGACAAGCTCCTGGCTTCAGCCTGGCCCGATCCGGACTGCTGTGGCCATTCGGGGAGCATACCAGTAAAGGGAAGATCTCTCTTGTAACCCTGCGCTTCGCATAAATCTTTAAAACATTACAAATTGAAACATTGTTGTCACTGGTGTGATCTTACATGGACTTTATCTTAAACTACCTGTGAATATTATCAAAGTGGGTCTCTGGTATCTTCTACTTTATGCAGAAGTACAAAAAAATAGAATTCCAGAAAGTATTTCAAAATAACCTGCTTTTCTCACACACACCAGTTAGCCACATACAGTTACAGTGCAGCTCTGGCTGTCTTGCTGTCAAGAGCAATAAATTCAAAACACACCCTTCTCTGCCAGGATGTCTACCCTGTCTGTGGTCGATCCCACAAAGCCAGCTCTGGACGAGCACTTCCCCAGCGTGGTGCTGGAGCCCAGCGGGGCGCCCACGGCGCGGCCGGGCAGCCTGTCCAGGGACAGCCTGGCGTCCGACAAGAGCGTGGACTACAGCAGGTCACAGTGCTCCTGCAGCAGCCTCAGCTCCCGCTGCGACTACTCGGAAGACTTCCTCTCCGAGTGTTCTGAGACCAAGAGGAGAAACTGCTCGGAGCAGCCCGCGGGCAAAGGAAAGGGGGAGAAGAAAAGATGCAACATCCCCACACAGAAAGGTAGGACATGGGGTGTGGATGCGGTTTTGCTGTTTAATGCACTAGTAGCTGGGTGACCGTGCCCTTTTATGGAGTTGTGTTTTTTTAAATATAGTGTAAATGTGCATTTCAGCAAGCTTTGAGAGAAGGAATTAGGAAACAGAAATTAAGAGCAATCCCAGAATAGCAGAAATGTTTGCCATGAAGCCTAGCCCTCCTCCCGCAGCTGCACCTCCCGGAGCCGGCTGGTGAGGTTAGTTCCATTTCTAGCCAACAGGTGGCCTTGTAACAGACTTCCACAGTCCCCGGAGCTCACTGGCTTCTTGCCCTTCATCTCAGCTGAAGAATCCAGTTTTGAACGGACAATAAAAGGTACATGCGTGTCGCAGCACCCCAGGAGGGTGGTCTGCAACTTGGGTGAGGCATCTTGGCAGACGGCCTTTCGAAACAGCTGTTCAATGGGCCATCCGTAACGTCCCTCCCTGGGGGGCTGTGAAACCCCCAGGCCGGCCAGCTCCCAGCTGTCCAGAGAGGAAGCGGCATGTGCTGACCTCCGCCCGGGCTGCCCCACCGTGTGGTTCCCTGCTCCCACGTGCAACACTGTTGAGAGCAAGTAGCCGGAAGTCCTCGCCCCTTTGGCCACTGCAGCATCCTCAGTCAAGGGCTGCCACAGGTGGAGGAGCCTGCGGGTCTCGGCAGTGCAGTACGCCAGGTTCGCCTCCTAGAGCTCCCCCCACCCCGCCTGTGAACCAGTGACAACCGCGTGTGGAGCATCCAGAATCTTCAGGTCCCCCCTTCTGCTAGCTGGGGACTCAGCTGAGGTCACTGTCTGTGAAACTCCTAAAACCCTGGGCTTTTGTTTCGCTTCTTTGTTGTCCGTCTGTGTTTGTGAACTGTTGTGGAGGGTAGGACCCCTGGATCTCCCGAGTCCCAAGAGGGAGCCTAGGGAAGGGACCCCTCCGCCCAGTGGCGAGGTCCAGGATAGAAGACGGATGACCCAGTTCCTCCCAACAGCAACGCTCCACAGAAAGGAAACCAGAGAGAGAGCCAGCTGGGGCAGGCATCGGGAGAGGCTGTGGCGGTGGAACCTCACGGCGGTTAGGTCCCCACAGCCACCACCGCCCTTAACCACATTTGACATTCACAAATCTCTGAAAACCAGCTTTTGACTCCAAAATAAGATTTGGCAGCAAAAACCTGATTTGAACTGATCTGAGACTGAACAGTCTGTTGCCTAGGGTGTATTAATAATCATTTATTTTCGTTTAAAACAATGCTTTGGTTGAAGGGTGCTGTCTGCAGAAAATACCGTACATGCAATCAGCTAAGAAAAATGATGGGACTCCAAATTCTCTAAACAGCTCTGGCCCCACGGGTTCACACCACAGGGTCATGACTACCCAGCAGGCTCTGCATTTTTGTAAAGATTGATTTATTATTTGAGATGCAGAGTTATAGAAAGAAACATAGAAAAAAGATCTTCCATGAACTGGCTCACCTCCCGAATGGCCCCAGTGGCCCAAGCTGAGTCACTCTCGAGCCAGGAGCCAGGAGCTTCCTTCGGATCTCCCACATGAGCCACATAAAGCCAGGCCTTTAGCTGGGAGCTCGATCAGAAGTAGAACAGCCAGGACTGGGACCAGCGCCTACACAGGAAGATGGTGCCACAGGCAGAGGCTTGGCCCACTATGCCACAGCACTGGGCCCCCCCGACTATGTTTCAAACTGAGTCTAAATTTTGATGAGATTGTGTGAGAAAGCAGTTAGCATCTGTGTACATATTTCTACAAAAAAAAAAACAAGCACTACATTTTGAGTTCTAAGTGTCTCCTCACATTGCTCGTTAGCAGTGACTTCTTGTTTCTGTCTCCTGTGAATACTGAGCCTCATTTAGCCAGCAATCCTATTCACAAATCAGCATCCACTTCAATCAATTCCCTCACCTCTAGGAGACTAGAATCCAGAATTCCATTTTTCAGGAGAGTGGGAGAGGTTTAGGCTTCCTCAAAGGCCCTTCTGTGCATTACTCCTCTGCCATTATTTTAAATAAATTTGCATGCATCTTTAATTACAATTGTCACCGATGACCCTGGCCGGTGTGTGATGTACTCGGGACATTCATAGCAAGATTAAGCTGTATCACAGGGGTCGATGAACCCGGGAAGGCCTGGAGGGAAGAGGGCCCAGACAGGGCGAATGCTCTCGATGAGTAACTGCGCAGGTGCACTCAGGGAGGCGGGCCAAGGACACAGCTTAGCGTTAGCTACGTCAGCTGCGCATCTTGGCTAACCACAGACTGAACTGTGTGTCGGCGATCTGAGTTCATTAGTGTGCCTGAGCTCAGTGGTTGTAAAATGAGATGTCTTATTAAGGGCAGTTGAATTTCTTATTGTGTGAAATGAAATCAAATGATAAGCTAGAGTACGCATAGGATGCATAGGTTAGGATCAAGAGATATTAAAGTCATTAAAGATTAAACTCATTTCCATTTTCTCTAACTTTTCTAGCTGCACAGTATGAATAACGTATGCAGTATAAACCGGTTGTGTGCCAGTCAAATCTAGCCCTGTATTTACCTTCCTGAGCCTCAACCCTTCCCGTCCAAGCTCACTTGCATAGATAGGAAATTGCATGGAGGCGTGTTGAGCGGAGTGCAGGGCGCACGGAGGGCTGGCCTGCACACAAAAGCTCTTGGGATGATTACAGCCCCCACGTTTCCATCACTTACATGTTCCCTGTCCACGGTCATGTGTGTCTTTTTTTCTTTTTAAGATTTATTTATTTGTATTGGAAAGGCAGATTCACAGAGAGACAGAGAGAAAAATCTTCCTGGTTCACTCCCCAAGTGGCGGCAACAGCCAGAGCTGAGCTGATCCAAAGCCAGGAGCCAGGAGCTTCTTTCCAGGTCTCCCACATGGGTGCAGGGTCCCAAAGCTTTGGGCCGTCCTCCACTGCTTTCCCAGGCCACAAGCAGGGAGCTAGACGGGAAGGGGAGCAGCTGGAACACATACTGGTGCCCATTTGGGATCCTGGCACATGCAAGGAGAGGACTTTAGCCACTAGGCTATTGTGCCAGGCCCTAGGCCATTTACTCTTTAAAAGCCAACACTTCCCATTTTCAAACATCATCCCCCTGCAACAGAGAGAACCCCAAAGAGGGCGAGAAGGAGAAACAACATGCTTTGTCTGTGCCTTTGGTACGTGCCACTGCCAAGCACCCAGAGCTCCATGTGGGCCTCTCGCATGATTCCGGCCGCCCTCTGCTGCTTTCCCAGTCACACAGTTTAATGTTTCTTAAGGGTCATTTTGAATACATGACATCTCACATTGGCCTCTCCTATCAGACTCTCATTACCTGCTGACACACTGCTGGAATTAGCATAGGGGTCCAGGTGCAGCATTTAGCTCAATGCCTAACCTCTGACAAGCACTCGGTGTCAGCTATGCCAGGGCCGTGGCTTTCAGCGCAGCTTTATGCAAGGACTGAAGCTCCGGCCCCGCAGGGCAGAGAGGACTTGGTTTCGCATGATTCTGCGCACTCCGCGGCGATGCAACCTTGGACACACGACTCAAATCCTTCATAAAACAGAACAAACACTGTATTGAAGCAGGTGTCCGGGCCTACACCACAGCTGTCATTAAACGCTGGTTAAATGCTAGGGAACTCTCATTTACACTTATATTTGTGTATATGTGTACAAGGTGGGGCGGGAGGAGGGGAGCTATAGCTATCTCTATATGAATTTGTAATAAAGTGGATTATCTGCTTACACAGGCCGGAAGGAAGTCTCATTTGAAAAAAAGCACACCTGGAACACATCATTTTTAAATTCCCAAATCAATATGATTACCCAGAGAAGAGATGCAATGGCTCAACGCATACTGTCAGCACGGATCCGCAAGATCAAAGAACTGAAGAACGAACTGGCTGACATACACCGGAAGCTAGAGGCCATCGTCATAGAGAACCAGTTTTTAAAACAACTTCAGCTCAGACACTTGAAAGCTATAGGAAAATACGAGAATTCCCAGAATAACCTACCTCAGATTATGGTTAAACATCAGAATGAGGTAAGAAATCTAAGGCAGCTACTTAGGAAATCCCAGGAAAAGGAAAGAGTCATTTCCAGGAAGCTCAGAGAGACTGACAGCGAGTTACTGAAGACCAAGGACGCGCTGCAGGCTCTGCAGAAACTGTCGGAGGATAAAAACCTGGCGGAGAGGGAGGAACTGACACACAGACTGTCAATCCTGACATCCAAAATGGAGGCCAACGACAAGAAGATACAGGTCTGTATGCCAGAGGCCGGCGCACCCCGAGATCCCAGTGCGTGCTGAGCGCACCTGGCTCCCTCTCGAGCACGGCTCCTGTTGGCAGGCTCCCGTTGGCAGGTGCCAGGGCCGATGGGCGGGCGAGGGGGACAGACGGAGCTGGGCATGCCGCTGCCGATCCAGCGAAAGCGAGCCAGGCTGCTCTGTCTGCGAGTGAGGCTTGCGTGTTCCTGAAGCTTCTGTGTGTGCTGTGTGGTGTGAAAGCTTAGACTGGAATCCTCTGTTCGCCACTGTTGCCCTGTTGACAACTTGTCTGCCGGTCTGCATCCTCGCTCGTATTCTCCCTCTGCAACCTGGCCAGTCACTACCGCAAGCACATCCCTACTTCTTTCACAAATGAGAATTCTTCCAGGTCAGGGTCCCGAGAACTAGGCAAGAAAGGAATGACAGCAAGTGCGAGATGAATGACAACAGTACGCGGCTGCCAGAGGCCAAGGGTTACACCAGAAGGGGCGGCCCGAGAGGGGGCACTGCTCACCCAGAAGTCCCTTGCCCATTTGCCACTGGAGATGGCTTTGATCTCCACAGGCATGAACATAAATGCAACTTGCTATGCAATCCCTCGATACTCAGTGGTAAGGCAGGTATTTCCTACAGCCTTGAATTAAGTAAATGCCAGTTGCATTTCATCCTCAGCCTTATCTTAATTACTTCTTGCATTGGTAAAATCCTCTATTTTCAAAGAAAGTTTTCTCCTCCATGTGCATGATGCAGAACACGGTGACTGATGTCACTCTGCATCTTTGTGACCCACAGCCACGTTATTTGCTCTTTTAATTCATACTGGATCCATCTGTCCACGTTTACGTACCTACAACAAGCCCAAAATGAACGAAAGAGCTAAGCGTGTCCTTTTGTTTTTCGGAGGAGGGATCGTGTAGTTTGTTTGACAAAGGCATCTTTAGTAATGATTTCGTCATCATAGTTTTCCACTTGGCCATAGAGGGGAAAGTGTCAGTGTTAGTGGGAAGAAAAAAGATTATACAAAGAAAAAAGATTTAAGCTCTTTTGATAAGAGCTGTCATCGGAGCAAACAGCGGGGTATGTGTGTGTGTGTGTGTGTGTGTGTGCCGTCGGCTGCAGCTCACAGTGGGCACCACATGGGCTGGCACAGTCCAGCAAGGGGCGCACCGATGCCAGGTGACCCCTGCTTGTCTGTGTCCCCCAGAAGTCCCCGTCCCTCCACGTTGGCCTACAAGGAGGCAGAGGCTCCGATGGGGAGAGGCCTGCCCAGAGTTGACAGAAACCTGTACAAAAACAGAAGATTCATTCGTTTGGACAGAAATCCGGTTCCATTTTTAAGTCAGGCAGTGTTTACAAATACCAAAATCAAAGAAAAACAGATAAGCAAGCAAGCAAAAAGCCCCACGTGCTTGACACGTGTGATACTGCGGATTCTTGGGTTTTCGGTGGGGGAGGGGTTGGGGTGAGGGCTGTACTCAGTCCTAGTAAACGTCCCTTGACAAGCCAGTCACTTCAAAACCACAGCGCAAACCCGCCCCTACCGCTGTAATGACTAATGGTCTAGTTTCTGTTAGCACTGAATTGGTTACAGAATGGTCGAACTGTATGCCGTTCGCAGAGCCTGGAGAAGCAGCTAAGGCTCAACAACAGAGCCTTTAGCCGGCAGCTGGCCACCGAAAACCGCAAGACCCTGACAGCCCAGACAGCCACCAAGAGCCTGCAGATGGAAGTGAGGCGCCTCCAACAGAAGCTTAAGGTAGCACTTGCAACACAAGACAGGAGACACAGGGTGAAGAGCTGTGTGTCGGAACTGCTCATGCATACCCTATCTTTGCGTTATTTAACTTCAGAGCTGGCAGTGTGGTGCAGCTGCCAAAGCCATCCCCTGCTTCACCGGCATCCCATGTGGGCACAGGTTCACGTCTCAGCTGCTCCACTTCTGCCTCTGCTTCCTGCTTGTGGCTCAAGGCCCTGGACCCCATCCCCATTTGAGAATGAAGCAGCAGACAGAAGATCTTTCTCACTGTCTCTCTACCTCTCCATATATCTGACTTTCCAATTAAAAAAAAAAAAAAAAAAACCTTTGAAAAAAAAAAAGTAGTGCACATACAGTTTTGCAAGACTTTAAGATTTTTTTTTTTTTTATTGCAAAGTCGGATATACAGAGAGAAGAGACAGAGAGGAAGATCTTCCGTCCAATGGTTTGCTCCCCAACAAAGTCAGGAGCCAGGAACTTCTTCCAGGTCTCCCACACAGGTGCAGGGTCCCAAAGCTTTGGGCCATCCTCGACTGCTTTCCCAGGCCACGAGCAGGGAGGTGGATGGGAAGTGGAGCTGCCGGGATTAGAACTGATGCCTGTATGGATGCCGGCACATGCTAGGCGAGGACTTGGTTACTCTGCCAGGCGGGCACACTGCTTGAAAAGAATTTGTAAATATTTTTAGACTGCTGTCTTTTTGCCTTCAAGATTTCTGAAATGTTCAACAGATTGACGAAGCTATTTGAGATATGTAAATAATAAGTTATTTCAAAAACTAGCAAATTATTTTCGAAAGATTTATTTACGTATTATTTTAAACGTGGGCTACTAGAGAGTGAGAGAAAGAGTAAGAAACAGCCCCTCCGTCTGCTGACTTACTCCCCAGATGATCGTAGCTGGGCTGGCAAGGTGGCCTGTCGGATTACTCTTCCACCTGCGGTGCCAGCATCCCAGATGGGTGTCAGTTCAGTTTCCAGTTGTACCATTTCTGATCCTGCTCCCTGTGTATGGCCTCGGAAAGCAGCAGAAGATGGCTCAAGCGCTTGGGCTGCTGTACCAATGATGGAGACCTGGAAAAAGCTGCAGGCTCCAGGCTCCTGGCTCCAGACTGGCCCAGTTCAAGCCGTTGTAGTTATTTGGGGAGTGAACCAACAGATGGAAATCTCTGTGTCTCCTTCCCTCTCTGTAAAATTTGCCTCTCAAATAAACGTAAATAAATAAGTACCTCGTGGTGAGGCTGAAGCAGAGAGCCTAGAATGCTCTCCTGTTCTCCCACACGAGTGGCAAGGCCCACGTACTCGGAGCACCGACTCTGGCATCCAGGCACATTAGCAGGGAGTCCATCAGGAGCAGTGCTGCGGCCACTTGAACAGATACTCCGATAAGGTGTGCCAGCCTTGCAAGCAGCAGCTTAGCCTGTGGTACTGCAACCTGGTCCCTTAACTAACAAGTCTTAAACTGTACGACAAGCAACTATAACATTTTCTTATGACAGCCATGGAGTTCGTACCCAGGAGACCACCCAGGAGCTATGAGGTGTCTCTGAGGAAGGGGAGGGCTGTGACAGCGTGGGGAGGGCTGTGACCACGTGGGGAGGGCTCACAGATTATTTTGTAAAGCAGGGAAGAGTTGCTCTCATACTGTCTTCTCTGGAGTTGCAGGAAATTTAAGAAAGACTATTCCAGAAAATGACCGTGCCATAGCAACCTTGTCAGAAACCTAACAGAAAAATCTTCAAGATCCACAGAGACAAAGCAGGGATTTTTTTCTTTAATTAATGCTACTTATTTGAAAGGAAAAAAAAAAACCCAGAAAGAAAGAGAGAGAGAGAGCCTCCATCCACTAGCTCACTCCCCAGACGCCCACACAGTCCTGGCCAGGCTCAGCCACAGCTCCATCTGGGCCTCCCCCAGGTGTGGGTGGAGCTGTCACTTGAGCCAGGACTCAAACCCAGGCCCTCCCAGACGCCAGCAGCTCCCAATCCTGTGCCAAGGGGTGTCCGTCCCTACATCAGTGGGCTAATAAGGTAAATTTTGCTTTTCCTTGTGCAAACTTCAAAATATAAAAAGTATTTATCCATTTAAGAAGCCCCTTCTGACAGGAGAAATGCCCAATAAAAATTAAAAGGTCCAAGATAGTATATACAGTGTGACTCAAATTGATTTTGAAGTTAAGGGTGGGTGTTGGAGAGTCCCATTAAGGCATTGCTTCTGGGGCTGGCCTCGTGGCAGAGCGGGCTAAGCTTCCGCCCACAACATTAGCATCCCATTCTGCAGGGCTGGCTCGAATCCCGGACACTGCGTTTCTGACCAGCTGATACAGCTGGAAAGGCGGTGGAGGGTGGCCCAAGACATTCATTCTCTTTCTCTCACACTCCTCCCTTCCTCCTTATCGCTCTGCCTTTCAAATAAAGTAAAATCTTTTCAAAAATTTTTTTATTTGAAAGGCAGATTTATACAGAGAGAAGGAAAGACAAAGAGAAAATTCTTCCATCCAGTGATTTACTCCCCAAATGGCCGCAACAGCCGGAGCTGTGCCAATCCGAAGCCAGGAGCTTCTCCAGGTTTCCCGTGTGGGTGCAGGGTCCCAGAGCGTGGGTTGTCCTGTGCTTTCCCAGACCACAGGCAGGGAGCTGGATGGGAAGGGCAGCAGCCAGCCCATTTGTGATGCTGGGCTTGGAGGTGGAGGATTAGCCAACTGAGCCACGGCACGTTCCCCCCGATCCATCAGCTGAATCTCCTGCACTGCATTCCCATCCTCTGGCCTAGAAGTCTGGAGACCAGGCTTCTCTCCGAGGCCTGGGAGGACTGTCCTGCTGTGTTTCCTTTTGAGCCAGCCATGTCCACACTGGACACTTGCTGGTCCACAGTTGTTGGTCCCCTCCTTCGCCACTCTCTATTGCAAAACCCTCGAGCATTCAAATTAACACATATCATTTTCCGTGTCATCAAGATACTCCTGAGGCAGTAGGCATTTGATGCAAGGGTTAAACCATTGCTTACAGTGCCTGCCTCCCACCTCAGAGTTCCTGGGTTCAAGTCCCAGCTCAGCTCTCCATGCCATCCTCTTGCTTCGGTCCAACAGGTGACAGCTCAAGCAGCCGAGTACTGCCGCCCCTCGGGAGCTGAAGTGCTGGCGCTGGCTCCTGCTCAGCCAGCCCGGCTCCTGGGGAAGTGAGCCAGCAGATGGAGGATCTCTGTCTCTTTCTTTCAAACAAATTTTTACAAAAAAAAAAAAAAACTTTAATCTAAAAAACAATATGCCACTCTAACATCAAAACCCCTGTCTTAACCAGATGAAAAGACCATTCTTCAAATATTCTTAAAAATAATATCCAGATCATACCAGGGTACTTAAAAAAGTTTATGGAAAAATGAAGCTAAAAGGTACATTTATTCTGTAGCCATCCATATGAGGCAGTTTTCAGGTTAGAAGGTTTTATGGGGGAAAAAAAAAAACTAGGAGTGGATTTCAAAATTCGGGGCTTCCAATCAATTTAACTTTGTGAAGAGCCCTCCTCCTGGATGATGAGCTGGTGATGAGCTGTCATCATGGCGGTTCTTTTGACTCAATGTGACCCAGAGGAAAGAAAGGAGCGGAGACTCCCGGGGACTCCGACCACCCTGGGCCGAGCCCTGCCCTGTCCTGCTCACCTGCAGAATCCTCCCGTCTCCTCTGCTCTCTGTAGCTGATCCCGGGCAGCACGCGGGGAGCAGGAGGAGGTGCATCTGTCTTTGAGGTTGTCTTCAACCCTTGCAGAAACGCCCTCCACCCCCGTGACAGCACTTGGAGCCTGAGGCAGAGTGCCTGCTGCTGCCCTTGAGCCCTCACCTCCTTCCCCAGGCCCCTTTCCAGACCTGGTTCCACTGAGCAGTGGCTGGTCTCTACCCCTACCCGGTCCCCGGGACCCTGCCTGGCGTGCCCCGGATACAGCCGGTGGATCCCTGGACCATCAAAAGCAAGGTCAAACCTTGGCCGTCTTCCCTCACTGACAGATAGCAAATGCTGGAAGAGCCAGCCTCTGCCAAATGCCACGCTGTGCGCCCTTGTCTGCACCTGTGACCCCAAAGACGCCAGCGTACGCTGCCAGCCCCACTCACAGCTGCCCCGCAGGGGTCTCCATGAGTATGGCAGAAAAGGAGCATCACGGGGCCCCTTGCACAGACACTGTGTCCAGTCCTCTAACGCGCTGCCTAGCCTGTCTCCATAAACAGTGGGACTCGCAGTTCCTCCAGGTTGTCCCAAGGCCTCCTTCTCTGAGCTTTCTAAACCTCAGAGATGCTTCCTCCCCCACAAACATCCCTTGGCCCACAGATTTGACTCTAATCCACGAGACGTGGGATGTGTGTGAGTGAGTGTGAGTTACACACGCCTGTCACAGCCTCACATCCAGACAGCGGGAAGCAGCCTCAGCTCGTCTAGGCCCGCCTCCTAACCAAGGCGACAGTGGAAGAGGTGTGTCCGCAAGGTTACTGAGCTGTGCTGTCGTCAAGCCAGCACTGCGGTGCGCCGGGGTCAGCCACAGCTCGTGACATCAGAATCGCACATCACAGCTGAGTCCCAGTCGCCCCAGCTTCCCGCGAATGTGCCTTGAAAGAGTTAAAAAAAAAAAAAAGTTTAGAACTTTCCAAAGTTCTTTGTGGTATACAATGTACGAACGATTCCTGCTTTCTTCTTGAATCCACTGATTTTTATTCAAAAGATACTGAGTTCACTTAAATTGCTTTTCCAAATGAAGAACTCGATGTTGAGAAAAGCAAATATTTATGGGAAATTGGATATTATGTTTCTTTTTAGGAGAAGGACCGTGAGCTTGAAATTAAAAACATCTATACTAACAGAATTCTTAAAAATCTGCTTGAGAAAGATGAGTATCCAAAAGGTGGGTTTGAATTACTTTGTTTCAAATCCAGTTGGAAGTGTCTGGTCACATCTCCTTAGTGTGGAGCCAAACTAATGGATCGTTTGGAAAAATCATCAGGCCCTGAGATACATTCTATGATTCTAGAAGATGACATCAATTAAACTGTGATCTGGCAAAAAAAAAAAAAATAGCTAGAAAAAAATTAAAATGACTTCCTGCTTCTCCATTTTTGGTTTGTTCCCTTACATCTTTTTTTCCTGATGGAACAAAGAATAACAAAGAATAACAAAGTTCTAAATGATTGACAAAAACTAGACTTTGTTTAACCTTCCCCAGGTTCAACTGAACTCAATCTTTCGGTTAACCAATGTATGACTTTTGAAAACAAAGGTCCTTAAGGTATATTTAATACTTCTCAGTGTCGATTTTGACAAACTGTATGCCCCTGAAAAGCACCACCCCAATCCAGATCCGGTCCTAACCTCCTCCCCAGCCCCCTCGTGCCCTGTGCTGAGCCCTGGCCCAGGCGGCCAAAGGCTTGCCTGCTCTCACAGCAGCTTCGCCTACCCGCTGCTAAACCTCCTCAAGGAATCATAAATCACACGCGCTCCTGTGTCTGGCGACTTCTGTTTGTGTCATGTTCTCTGATTCACGTGTGTCAGGGTGGCTATCACAAGTTTGGGCCCTTTTATTGCTAAGTGCCATTCCTCCCTTCAAAGCAGGGGGTCCTTGCTGTCCCCCACCAGCTCTCAGAGGAGGACCCATAGGAGCACTTCCTCTAGCCTGGGAAGCGAAGGAAGGCAGCAACCCCCAATTCCTCATCTCTCCTGGCTTGGGGCATCTAATACAGAATAACAGCCACCAGGAAAGGGAAAAAAAGCTGAACCAAACAGGGGCGCTTTACAGAGATCCTCATTCGGGGCAGCTGCCATCCAGGCTGTGCGCGCCAGACACAGTCTGGCCACTTGCCTCACCACTGTGTCTCTGGTGAGCCCGCCTGCAGGGGACAGCCTTGTCCCCAGAGAACAGCACTGCCCGCTGTGTTCACCGACCGCGGTGGAGCCAGTGACACCCTGGGCCCAGAAGGAAGATGAGCCAGGAGACAGGTAGTGGGGACAGGAGGGGAGGAGAGAAAGAAAACCGGCAAATAGGACACACATGTTGAATATTCAGTACATTTCTGCTTTATTATTACATTGCATACTTTAGCATTTATTTGAATCTGTGTTGCTTTCAACAGTAAAAATATTTCCTACATACAAATCTACCTGTTCTGCAGCCGTTTCAACCAAATCGGTACAAGCAGACAAAAAAAGCTTGCCGTCCGTCAGTGTGCGACACCAAGAGACGCAGAAGTCGGCAGAGCTCTCGGGCCTGAGCGCGAAGGTACGGCAAGCCGGGACCTGGCGATGCTTCGCCAAATATGTCTCAGCAGAGACGCATCAGCCAGGTCCACTAGTCCATACAGAAAGTATGTTCGCCTCATTAGAGTAAAAGTGACACTTCCCAGCATGTAGCCCAGCAGTCGAGGCGTCCATGTGCCCTTGGCAGATTCCCCAGGTTCAATTCCGTGCCCCAGCACCCTGTCAAGCAGGCTTCGGCAACTGCGCTCCTGCACCCACTTCCCACTCCTTGCTCCCAGCTTTCATCTGCCCCAAAGGGCCTGGCATTCACTTTGGCAGTGAATTAATAGAGGGAAGCTTACTTGTTTACTCTCTCTCTACCTCTCTCTCTCAAATAAATAATTTTTAAAATGCTCTAGACCCATCAGGTCGGCACCTTAGCATAGCAGGCTAAGTCTGCATCTGTGGCCCCAGCATCCCACATGAGAACTTGCTCAAGTCCGGCTGCTCCCTACATACAGCCTGGGCAAGCAGCGGAGGATGGCTCAGGCCCGCGGGCTCCCGCACCCACACGGGAGACCTGGAAGATGCTCCTGGCTCCTGGCTTCAGACAGGCCCAGCTCCAGCCGTCGTGGCCATCTGGACAGTGGACCAATGGATGGAAGACCTCTCTCCATGTTTTTCCTTCTTTCTGTCACTTTGCCTTTCAAATACAAATAAATCTTTCAAAAAAATTATCTAGATCCCCTAAAAATATGTTTTTGCTGGTTTTCTAAATTACAGGATAAAAAAGCAACAAGAAACATTGGCCAGAAAGAAAAAATAATTGAAATTAATTATGAAATTCCTCATTGTATCAGTAAACTACCAAACAAAGAAGATTCTAAGAGAAAACATGAAGGTAATATTTTTGTTTCCTTTATTCTTTGCTTTAAATTATAAATTAGTATATATGAGCATAAAAACACTCAAAAGTTTATGAAATGTTAATAATAGGAGCCTAAGTTTAAAAAAAAAAAGAAAACTTCCTAAAAACAATAGAGGCATTACACACCCAGCATATTGCTTGAGAAACCTAACCATCAGGGCCTGGCATGGTGCTGTGTAGGCTAATCCTCTGCCTGCAGTGTCAGCATCCCCTTGGGCACAGGTTCATGTCCTGGCTGCTTCAGTTCTAAACCAACGCCCTGCTTGTAGCCTGCAAAGCATCAGAGCATGGTCCAAGTCCTTGGGACCCTGCACCCACATGGGAGACTCAGAAGTTCCTGGCTCCTGGCTTTGGATCAGCTCAGCTCCAGCCATTGTGGCTACTTGGGGAGTAAACCAGTAGACAGAAAATCAATTTCTCTCTCTCTCCTTTCTCTCCCTCTCTCTCTGTGTCCCTCTCTTCATAAATTCTGACTTTCAAGTAAAAATGAATAAACCATTTGAAGAAGCAGAGCTGGAACATCAGTGACCCTCAGAACTTCCCTCAGCCACCTACTCTCCCTGCCCACCACTAAGCGGAGCTTCTAGAATGTCAGGCCCACCACACCTTTGCTTCCTCCCACAGCTCCCCATCCTGTCCTGGTGTCTGCATGAGTCGGCTTGAGCTGCCGCAATGAAAATACCAGCAGACATTTATTTTCTTACAGTCTGGATGCTTGGAAGGCCAAGCTCTGGGCTCTGGGCTCCAGTTTCCAGGCTCTGGACTCTGGGCTCCAGGCTCCAGGCTCCAGGTTCAGGGCTCCGGGCTCCAGGCTCCGGGCTCCGGGCTCCAGGTTCAGGGCTCCAGGCTCCAGGCTCCAGGTTCAGGGCTCCAGGCTCCAGGCTCCAGGCTCCGGGCTCCGGGCTCCAGGTTCAGGGCTCCGGGCTCCAGGCTCTGGGCTCCGGGCTCCAGGTTCAGGGCTCCAGGCTCCAGGCTCTAGGCTCCGGGCTCCAGGTTCAGGGCTCCAGGCTCCGGGCTCTGGCCCCTTGGTTCCTGATGAGACCTCTTTCCAGTCTGTAGACGGCCTCTGCTTGGGCTGGAGTCCCAGGAAGAGGGTAACAGGCAAGAGCAGCACCACTCTGCTAGGGACAGCAATGCCATCACCAGGGCCCCCCGCTCCTGTGACGTGAAAGGCTCTGTCGCAAGCTGGGGGGGGACGCAACCTGCCAAGTCCGAACCAGAGTCCTTAAACAGCAGGTCCAGGTCTGCAGATCCCGATAACAGGGTCAAACCCAGAACACTCCCAGCAGGAGCTCAGCTAACAGATTGCAGGTTTCCTTCCCTGAAGGTCGTAGGCCCAGTGGGTGGGGCCTCCAGCTGTCTGGGAGACAGAGTAGCCATCAGTGCCACCAGCAGGCAGAGCTCCTCTAGCAGGTGCAGGAGGTGCGGGGTCAGAGGGCAGGGGTTGCTCAGGATGTCTAAGATGAACAGAGCACATTTCCAGCACGGAGGGGCAGGTCTCCGCAGGGCGCAGGTCTCCGCAGGGCGCAGGTCTCCGCAGGGCGCCTTCTTAGCCCATCCAGGCTGCAGGCTTGACAGGAAGCCCCACACCTGACCAGGCCTCAGGCAGGGCACGCTGGCTCATGGGCATTGGGCACCAGGGGGCGGGGGGAGGGGTAGAGTCCCATGAGGGGAGTCAACAGCAGATGGAAGCTCACTTGCGCTCTCTCTCTGACCAATCCGGACGCAGGAACCTCCTCTGAGTCTCCCACGTGGGTGCAGGGTCCCAAGGCTTTGGGCCATCCTCCACTGCCTTCCCAGGCCACAAGCAGGGAGCTGGATGGGAAGTGGAGCAGCCAGGACACAAACTGGTGCCCGTATGAGATCATGGCATTTTGCAAGGGGAGAATCAGCCAAATGAAGGTATTGTGCCGAGCCCAAGGATTTTTTTTTTATTTGAAAGACAGATTTATAGAGAGGAGGAGGGACAGAGAAAGATCTTCCATCCCCAGGTCACTGCCACAACAGCTGCCAACAGCCAGAGCTGAACCAGGAGCCAGGGCGCAGGACCCCAAGGCCCCGGGCCATGCTCTGCTGCTTTCCCAGGCCATGAGCAGGGAGCTGGACAGGAATGTGTGGCACCTCATGCATGAACCGGCACCCATATGGGATGCTAGTGCTGGAAGACGGAAGACTAGTCTGTTGAGCCAACATGCCAGTCCCTGAATAAGTCCTTTAAAAAGAAAATTCTAGTTTCTTTATATTCTCATCAACTCTAGAAATTATTTGAGGGCCCAGTGCAGTTGCCTAGCAGCTAAAGTCCTCGCTTTGAACGTGCCCTGGGATCCCATATGGGTGCTGGTTCTAATCCAAGCGGCCCCGCTTCCCATCCAGCTCCCTGCCTGTGGCCTGGGAAAGCAGTTGAAGACGGCCCAAAGCCTTGGGACCCTGCATCCATGTGGGAGGCCTGGAAGAGGCTCCTGGCTCCTGGCTCCAGATCGGTGTAGCACCAGCCATTGTGCTCACTTGGGGAGTGAATTATCAGATGAAAGATCTTCCTGTCTCTCCTCCTCTCTGTATATCTGACTTTGCAATAAAAAAATAAAATAGATCTTTGAAAAAAAATTATCTGAGAACTGGTTTGGGTGAAGCACGTCTTCACTGTTTTACCTGACACCGTACCCAGTTCATGATGTTAAACACCTATTACCTATTAGTAATCTGCATTGGCAAAATGATTTCTTCCCGTATGAAGATTGCTTTCCTCCAGGTTTCCTAGTTCCTGCTGACTCGGGGTGTAACGTTCCAAGCTGGTGTGCATTTTAAGTGCTTTTCAGAAGGTGGCGGTAAGTGTGCCTGGAATGCCACCTTGGCGAGAAACCCATTCATTGTCAAGACCACAAACCTGCCTGCTTCTCTCCCGTAGCTATACCGAAGGAAGAGAAACATCTGGAAGCGCAGGCACCTCTGGAGAATACCGGAAGGCAGAGAGAGAAGAAGGAAGACCTGGAGAAGAACACCGCTTCAGGGAAAGAAAAGCCAGAGAGCCCGCCAGCACGGAGAAGTGAGGAGGGCCAGGAGGGAGCAGGTGAGCAGCGCGAGGAGCCAGGCCAGGCAGAGGCTGCCAGCGCCGCGGGGCCCTGGAGGCCCAGGAAGCGCTACTCCTTCACCGAAACCATCGAGAACCTGCACCACGGCCTGCCCACGTCGGGCGCCACGAGATGCCACCACGGCCCCGGCGCACGCCACAGCCACCCGGGGGACGCGAGGCTGGAGCCCTGCGCCGGCGCCTACGAGCCCTCCTTCGGGAAGTCTTCCAGAACCAAGGCCAGAGACGCGGCCTTCCGAGATAAGAAGAGCAGTCTCATGGAGGAACTCTTCGGATCGGGCCAGGTCTTCCAGCACGGCCAGGCGAGCAGCGGCGTCCCGGGCGCGTGTGAGACACCCAAGCCCAAGGCGATGGCCCGGCTGCCGCCCAGCCAGGCGTCGGCCAGCAACGCTTTCGGGGATTCTAAGGTAACGGTCGTGAACTCTGTGACGGCGTCGTCTTCACCCACAGAAGAAACGAGAAAGATACTTATTTAAATATAATCACTATCCCAGTACAGTCTGGTTTGATGTACTGCGACCGTGCCTTTATGCGTGAGAGATGGAGGTGGTGCTGGTGTGCGTGTGTGTGTGCGCGTGTTGGAATTTAAATGGACTTTGGATAACTAACGTTTTATTTTATTGCGAATCTGATTTAAAAAAAAAAAAACCCCACTGCATGATATTTTGTGTATAATTTTGGAGAACAGTGTAGAATTCTCTCTTGAGAAATGTCACATGCTTATTTCTGACATAAGGGCTGCTCAGGAGTGGATTCAGCTCTGGCTTGCCCTTCTCCTGCCACCAGCATGCAGAGGGACTGTGGACACCCAAGCACCCATGGGCTCACCCTCAGCCTTGGCACAGCTGGCTCCGGCACAGCCACCTGCACCTCAGGTCCCAGAAAGACACACGCTCCCCACTGCCCACCCAAGGCGGCCATGGCTGGGCATACACTCCCCGCTGCCTGCCCGAGGCGGCCATGGCTGGGCACACACTGCCCGCTGCCCACCCGCCCGAGGAGGCCATGGCCTGGCACACACTGCCCGCTGCCCGCCCGCCCGAGGAGGCCATGGCCTGGCACACACTGCCCGCTGTCCACCCGCCCGAGGCGGCCATGGCTGGGCACACACTCCCCACTGCCCGCCCGAGGCGGCCATGGCTAGACACACACTGCCCGCTGCCCGCCCGCCCGAGGCGGCCATGGCTGGGCACACACTCCCTGCTGCCCACCCTGGGAGCCACAGCTCAGTTGGCCAGTAAGACTTTGCCAGTTGCACGCTCACTTCGCCCTGCTGAGCGGCCCTCTGTAACAGCATGCAAAGGTAATATTTGAAGTACAAATTTACTTTTTTTACTGTCAAGTGAGACATGTCAAGACCTCCTACAAGATTCATTTATGATACGGATTAGACGGGTGTCACTCCCAGGAAGAGTGTTGTCAGGGACAAGTCTCGAGGTTAAGGTGCCAGTTAGCATGCTCGACTTCCACAGCAGAGGGCCGGGTCCCCCACGCCCAGCCCCTGATCCCAGCTCATTGCTAGCTGGCACTGCCGAGACAGCAGAGTGGTGCCAGCATTCCTGCCGCCCACGTGGGAGAGCCAGACAGACCCCTGGCCCTTCAGGACCACAGAGGAGTGACCCTACAGACGGGGGGTCTGGGTTCTCTCTCCTCTCCCTCTCTCTGCTTCTGTAATTAATTTTAACATGTTTATCAGTCTTAGGGTTTATTGTAACTTCTATACATGGTAGCCGCTTTGACAAGGAGCAATAGTATCCCAGAGCCCATTTTAAGAGGGGCATGGTGATTTGGTGTTCTCTGGGCAAAGTGGGGCTCCAACACCCTGCCCCTCCGTGCTTCCCTCACATACACCTGAGATCCGGCCTGTCTTCTGCTAATCTGTTCTAAAGAAATAAAAGTACAGCAGTGTAATTAATGCCCACTCAAGCCAGCCGCTCCGTCCTAATTAACACATCCATCTCACTTAGAATATTCTAACAGGATCATATAAAAGCAGCTGGATGTCCAGACCATCTTCCCGAATTTATTTTCTTAAAGGGTAACTTCTTCATAACCTAGACACCCAAGATGTCACAGATGGTGAACACTGACATACTTTTTAAAGTTAAAAAGTTATGACGAGGGTCTTGGGATGGGGCGTCTCATGCCTGGATCCCAGACGACAGCCACTATGTGCATGTGGTGAGCTGTCCCCGGGACTGCCTGGGCTCCGGGACTGCTCCCTTCCAGGTGAGTGCACCGAGGGGGGAGGTCTCCGTGACTGGGCAGGTCCAGGACCCACCCACTGCCTTCATTGGGCGGTGAATGGGATTGGGGAGGGGCGCAAAATTGGGCCTGGGAGTTTAAACTTCCAGCACTCCTGGCTGCTGGTGGATCTCAGGACGGGGCGTCTCATGCCTGGATCCCAGACAATAGCCACCATGTGCATGTGGTGAGCTGTCCCTGGGCAGGGAGTTCTGGGGTTTTGGTTCTTTGAGTCGCTGCTTAGTTAGCTCCAGGTTGAACCCATTGTGCTTCTAGGACATGAAGCATTCATAAAGATTCCCATTGGCAGTAACTCTTCCTTTGTAAAACTTGTAATCACTGAACAATGCTGACCACCAAATACCAGTCCATGCAGAAGCTATGGCTTCGGGCTTGTCCTGCAGAATTATATCATGTTACCTGACATGATGATGGGTCAGAAGGGTCACACTGAGCAAGCCATTACATTAACTAGCACTCAAAAACCGTAACTTGGGGTAAATTCTGTGAGGGATGTATGGGCCACATCCTGTGAAAATTCTAGCCCCACTGGTTATCTCAAGAGTAGGGGTGGTGATGGACTACGCTAGGTGTGACCAAGGAGCCTGCCATCAATCACAGGTAAAGGAACCCCCAATAGTCTGGACTGGTCAGGGCAGCAGCACCCAATTGTGCATCCTGATTAGGGTGTGGGGTGGGCTGGGCTGCAACGCTCACCAGCTCATACAAGGCCAAATGGAAGGCCAGACTGCGCCGGGCACTGGCCTAAACCCAATGGCATGTATGAGAACTGGGTCTGGGAGGGGATCAAGTTGAGGAACTTAGGAAACTCCCTTGGCGAGTCATAGCTCCAGCTGCTGAACATGTGGTCCAGACCTGGGGGCCGGACAAGCTGGGAAAAGTAGCTCCAACAACTGGCAAAAGTGTCAACTGGTAATGCAACAGGGTAGATCAGGCAGGACTGAGCAAACCTTAGCCCACAAGTAAAACTAGAAACCAGGACAGAGCACAGGTCATGCCGAGCTAGGCTCTTGTACCTACTGGTCTGCGGGAGCCAAGAATGCTAAGCCACAGTGTCTAAGGCAGAGGTCAGGACAGGTGAGGGGCTGTGCCAAGCTGAGTCAGAGAAACCACTGGCATGCAAGTGATCTATGGCTGGCAACAGGCCGGGTTGGGGAGCTAAGGGGACAACCCTGGCTGGGTTGAGGTTCTCACCAAGGGGTGTGTGACCTGGAACGGGGGCTGCGTTCTGATTGGGAAACAGTTGTAGTCTCCCTTGGCACAAGTGTGGACTGGGATTGGATGCACCAAACCGGGCCAGACCCCAACACCCTCTGGTGTCCTGGAGGACCAAGGAGGATGTGCAATGGACTAGGCAAGGTCTCAAACCCCTACTGAGCCATGTGTGAGCCATATGTGGGTATGGACAAACCATGGCTGGGCTGAAACATCCAACAGCAAGGACCAGTTTGGATTGAAGACCAGTCAGGAAAAGCCACTGTTCCTGCTATGACAGGAGGTGGACTAAGCAGGGCTGGCTCATGGAACCACTGGTAAGTGTGAAACCTGGCATTGGGAGAGGTTCTGATGGAGGAGCCTGGGCAACTCCTCTGGCAGGACACAGACCCTACAGGTAAGTGCAAGAAACATGATAGGAAACAGCCCAGAACAGGCCATGGAAAGTTACCCACTGGCATACAATTGGCAGACGTGGGGGCAAGACCAGGCTGAATATGTCCACATCATCCACTGGCAAATCCAAGCACCAGAACAGTGTGGGTCGAGCCAGGTTCGGTCACAATGAAGACTAGTGCACAATATGGAATGCCAAGGTGAGGTTGCCTGTACCAGAAGGGACCGCAGCACCCAACCAGCACACGTGAGAACAAGGAACGGAGGGGGCAGAGCTGGCAGGGGAATAAGGGAGGGTTCCTTTGCTGGACAGCTACTCCCGCTGGAGAGCATGGGCTGGGATGGGGGCAGACCAGACTAGGCAGAGCTACCACACCTTTGAGCCCCATGTGGACTAGATCAGGGAAAAGCCGGGCTGGGCGGATTATTCCTACTGGTGCAAATAAAAGTAGGGTGGGCGAGGGTTATTTGGGCTTAGCCACAGCATCAGCTGGCAAAAGCTGGCACTGGGGGCTAGTTCTGTCAAGTCAACCACAGAACTACCTGGAGAGTGCATAATCTGGGAGTGGGAGAGGCCTGGGAGGGAAATAGTGGGCTCATCCCTCTTGGGTTACCACTTCTACGGAGGGCATAAAACTAAGATAGTGGCTGGGGTGGAATGGGGTGTGGGACAGACTGGATTACTGCTACACATACTGGCAAACCAGGGTAGGAGGCGGGCCTGGTGAGGGTTATTGCAGGTCGCTCCAACTAGGCTGCAGCTCCCACTGGTTTATGTGAGGGCCAAGTATGTGCTGGGCAGAACCAGGCTGGACTGCAACACCCAGTGGTTCCAGTGGAAGTCGGGAGTGAAAACAGAACCAACCCAGCAATTGCAACCACCAGCTGATTGGAGCGATGGACGGTGCCAGGCCCTGTACTTGTTAGCACATACAAGAAGTTTCTTTGGAGATCTTCCTAATCTAAATGCTGGACTCAGAACCCTAACGAAGAAAAGAGAGAAGACAGAACAGCTCAACCAACCATCTCAGCTATGATGGACTATGTCAACCAGTGGATTTTTCAAAGACCTCATACTGCTTGGAGTGGCAAGATTGACAGCAATTCATAACCGTTGAAATATCAAAACCACTGGAGCAAAAACCTCAGAGCATGCCCTACATCCGGGACCTGGGGAGGGTGGGAAATTGGGTGGGCCTTCTCCCTTAATACCCCCCTTTAAACATGAAGGAAACAATATGGGAAAAAAATGCCTCAATAGAATATAGAATAATGCCTAATTAGGAAAAAAAAAAAGTTATGACGAAAACACAATTTTATTTAAAACCACACACAGGAAAAATGCTACCATTGGCGTAAGTTTGACCTCTATGGAAGTCAAGGAAGGTTCCTAGGGGAAATATGCAAACGTCCAGTAAATGTCCTGTCCATCATACACAGAACATGTACCAAAATTTCACCCAGGGATACTGAAAACCAAGAAGCAGATAAATCATAGTAATATACAAACACTGACTCCAGAACAAATATAAAACCTGAGAAAGGGGCTAATAGGGGCACAGTGGGTTAGGCCACTGTCTGTGACGCCAGCATCCCATAG